TCCTACTACGGTATGTTTATACATATGCGAGTATTGATCCGAGGTGATTTGAGCTCTATTTTTTTACCAAGTGCTGTTTAGATTTTCCTTTTAGAAAATATTTGTTTCTTGTTCTCACCCTCACCGCGTTCATTTGCTGATTTTTTTCATGCTAATTTCAGTAGGCCTTGTTGACGGATTCCAAGCTGTTACGGTCTCCATATAAACGCCAAAGCCCAGGGCTCCACCAAGAAACAACTGCCATGTCATCCCATGGCACCCCAATAATACACCACCACCTGCTATGGTGGGTCGTGCTGCATGCGGGGCCAGGGCAGCTATGAGTTTAGCAATTGGACTAGACTACCCCTGCTTAAGGACACTAATTACTGAATGCTCGTTATGGTCCAGCGTTTTCAGTTTCAGTGTAGTTTTTTTTTTGAAACACAGTTTCAGTTTATTTGATTCACAGTTGAGCATGTTTGCCTTCTTCAGTTCTAAAAAAATCAATGTAAAAGTGGAATGATCTTGAGATATTATACTCCCTCCATTTCAATTATACGACATTTTATCTTTTCTAGATACATAGCTTTTGCAATGCACCTAGATATACACGATGTCTAAATACATAATAAAAACAATATATTAAAAAAACGAATCGTCTTATAATTTGGAACGAAAGGAGTATATATGAGCGAGAAGTAGGTGTCAGAGCAACTTCAACAAAGTTGATAAAAATAGATGGCTAAACTCATGATTTAGCCAACCTCTAAAATAGAAACCCCAGCAAAATAACAGAAAACTCCAACATCCTTTCCAATAGTGTGAGACGAATGGCTAGCAGCACATGCAAGCTAAATTTAGCATGTGAGAACTCTGGGATATGTGACTTGCTATTTTAGAAAGACAGATACAATAGCTGTTGGACTCTCTCTTTTTCTCCAAAATACTCAAATATAGATTACACGACATGGATAGCTCTTCTATTGGAGTTGCTCTAAGTAACACAACTTTACCAACTACGCATAAAAACAATTATATTAAGTTTATTTTTTCAGACTTGCTAGCGCCCGGACGTCCGATCCGGGCACTAGCGTACGGACGCTGCCCGCACAGGGAGCGAACGAGCTCCTAGCGCGTCGGGGTTGCGAGGGAGTGTACCAGTAGTGGTCTGCGCCGCCCTGGACGTCGCCCACGCCGTCCCGGACATCGTCCGCACTACCGGCCGCTTTCCACGCGCATCCCATGTGCAACACCCGATCTACTTTTGAAACATTCAGATGCAACAGTTGCAACATACAAAAGAAGACAGATAAAACACTTGAAACAAGAGTCTGAAACACTTGCGAAAACGTCTGAAAAATATTTGAAAATCATTGCAAACATATGCAACATCCAGATAAAACACTTGCAAACATACGTATGAAACACCCAAAAAACTTGAAACAATGCTTGCAACATGCATGTGTATGCAACATCTAGATCTACTTTTGCAACATCCAGACAAAACACTTGCAACATTCGTCTGGAAAAAGATAAAATATTTGAAACATACACTTGAAACATACGTGTATAGCCACTACAACATGTGTACATCTCGATCTACTTTTGCAACATCGATATACAACACTTGCAACATACCTTAGAAATAACTGAAACACTTAAAACATACTATTGAAACATACGCTTTCAGCGTAGCATCTGCTTGCTGCTTGATGAATGGAGGCTCGTCGACGTGGAGCTCGATGTCGGCACGGAGCTCGAAGCCGCAGAGTGGCATAGAGGTCGTCAGTGTGGAGCTCGTCGGCAGCACGGACCTCGGCAGGGGCAGGGGCAGGCGGATGAAGCATGGCCGCGACGGGAGGCACGAGTCCGGGAGCGAGCTAGCGAACGCTAGCTCGTCGGGCTTGCCACGCGGCGAGGGCGGGTGATGGGGGCGCGAGCGGGGGCGGCGCGGGCCAGGACGGGCCCTGCGAGTGGGCGACGCAGGTAGGAGCGGCATGGGCAAGTGTGGGTTTCCGTTAATTTTTATCGGAATACTTGCTTTTCTTCAGTTGGATCTATAATAACCTAATAAAATATTAAACGTTTTACTTTCTTTATGACCGGTGATCAATATTTAATTAACTTGCAAGACATGAAATGTGTAGATAGACAGTGAAACGTACCAAGTGGTTCAACTTGAATGAAGCTCTCGTTTTGGATCCATCACTGTGGGTCGTAGTTTGCTTCTTTAACACTCACTTGGGAGGCCCAAGGCAGCAAGGCTAGTACGGCTTGTAACTTTGTGCACAAATTCACAGATATGAAAATGACATGTACATTGCACTTTCCATGATACGACAGTAACAGTAGTAGAAAAGGAAATGTACCAAGTCGTGTCTTTTCGAATATGATGGTGTGTATAATCTATTGCTACTCGTGTAAGTTAATCATCCTGCAAATCCCATTATTAGTTTCAACAAAGCCCTGATCACAGGAGATTTCCCTGCTAATCTTTTGGCACAAAACAGGGCCTCCAAAACCAAGAGATGTATTATTGCCACTGCTTTGGAGTCACCATCAAAATATATTGGGTGGATATGCACGAAAAATATATACCAAACTTGTTCATTTGATTGTGTAGAAATGACATCGGTTCTAGAACAACCATCCCATCATTAAGCTTGGCTAATCTTGAAACCTACTGCTAATAATACAGATCAAGTAGCCCGACCATGGGCCATGTATAATAATTTGGCAATTTGCCAAAGTGATATGATCCTAAAATCCCAATGTTATCCTACATTCCTACCATGTGCAAGCAACAATAATGCGTCCAAGTATAGATGATCACAAAGGATATGTGATGCACTTAGATGAGCATTCCAGAAACACTATTAACTCTAACACATTTCCGAGAAAAAAAAGGAGAGAATGCCACGGAGAAACCCCCTTTGCTATGTGGCATGCAATTAGATGAGCATTTCAGAAAATTCCATGCTTTCATTTAGTAATAGAAAATATATTATGCTGGAACACATGTTTATATATGTTCTGGTCTCCGTGCTAGGGGAGTTATGAGTGAGAGCGCGAGAGCGCGGTGGAGGATGCGCCCACGTCGACGGCGTCCACCTTTGGTCTTGGATCTCCGCCGGCGAACGGCGGATCAGGTGAGCAATACACAGGTACGTGTTTCTAGTGTTTCGTGGAAGGAGATGGGGCGGAGGATGAGGACGGAAAATGGCACTTCGTCGGTGACTGCTGGAGACGGCCTATACCTGACCCGGCAGTGGACCTTTGTCCCATAGGAACGAAATCCAAATTCTGGTCACTGGCGGACGATGATCATTCTGAGGTCGCGTCCCAGTCGCCATTCACGCCGGATTTGGTGCGTCAAGCAGCTGTTCATGGTTCCTCCAAGGAACAACTGTGTGAGGCGGAGATGGCTTTGCAAGACTCGTCGGTTCGCCGGCGGGTAGAAGCGTCAGCGTCTCCGGCTCCAACGGACAAGAAGGTAGTGCTAGTAAGAAATATCATGAAGGCTTGGATAGATGTTCGGCGGAGGGCAAGGACGCCGTGGTCGGAGAAGCTACAGCGCCCAAGGATATCACCGGTGATCACCCTTGGCGATTGTGCGGTAACTGCTATTTGCGGTCGACGGCTAGTTGCAAGAGGTACTCTCACTGAGGTACTAAGGGAGACATCCTCAGCGACTCCAGCGCCGACGAAGACGACATGGCTCGATGTCGGACGCCAAACTTCGACGTTTTTTTCAAAATCCACCTGATCCGAAACTGATGCCCAAGGAAGGCCATCGTCTCGATCCGTAATGCACGCAGGGACGGGTGGGCCTCATGACAAGGTCCAACATGGGCCATGTACGCTGAATGGCTAGGGACACTGCAAATGCCACGGTGCCAAACTAGCGGCTCGGTTTTTACTCGAAAAGTTTGATCTTGATGAAATCAATAGGAAAACCCTAGCCGCCACTCCCTACTTAGTTTATCCTTCGTACATCCAAGTGTTGCGTGTAGGCATAGCGGCCCCAGGCATGGGCGGCGTGGGAAACGGTGCAGAGGCAGTGAGGGTGGTGGTGCCGGAGGAAGGGGACTCTCAGCTGGTCGTGGCGTAGGAGGTGCAGGCGGTGTGAGACAAGGCTATGGCGCCAGGTATGGCTACAACTACTACAACGAAGGCGCGCATTACAACGGACCTCCTCGATTCAATCCCAATCTCGGGGTTCATCCGCCGAACTATGGCCCGGGCTGGGACTATGAGCGATGGCAAAGGGACGGCAGGGCGGCAATGGTGGCTGTGGCTGAAGTAGTGCTTACCGGTATGGTCGCAACTATCAGCGACATGTGCCGTAGCGGGAGCAGCGAGTACTGCATCATGGACCTCCGCAACAGCAATCATCAGCACCCCCACAGTTACCGAATCAGCAACAGTTGCCATAGCATGAGCAGCGGGGGCCATTGCAGCAGCAAGCACCGGCACCCCTGCAATTGCTGAACCAGCAATAGGTGCATCAACCTCCACCACTGACGTCTGGCACGGTCGCTCGGTCATTGTCGCAGCAACTGGGGCTAGGGTCCGAACATCAGGTCAAGACCAACACAGAGCAGCATTAGGTAATAGGGAAAGGTTTAATTCTGTCTGAGCAAAGCATGGGCAAGACCGACAAGGAACGACAGCCAGCACCACATATGTTGTATGGTTCGTCCTCGGTTGCTGGAGCAAGTGCTATGCAGATTGAGAATTCAGAGATTGGAGCAACTAAAAATGGTGCAGTGGAGGTGTTTCAAAGGGCAGCTACTTCCAAAATGTGCAGGCGGTGTGGAGTAGAGGGTCATTTGATGTTTGGGTTAACGGCGATAGTTTTCTATGAAATTTGTAAGAGCACTGATCATGCCATGATTCGGTATCCGATACTCAAGCAACCGAAACCAGTAGCTCAATTAGTTGGCTAGGCGGCCGATGAACTTGCTAGCTATCATATTCCACATGCACCCATACAGCCAACAAAGAAAGATTCCAGAATGGCTCTAATTTATACTTTAGGCAAGAATCTGACACAGGAGGAAGTGGCAGCATTTTTGCGGGTGTTGGTCTCTGATACTTTTGCGTGGGATGTAAAAAGGCACAATGGCTTTGAGTTTAAGGTCCTTTTCCCTACTAAAGGGGATCTTGTCAAGATGACAAAGTTCAATGCAGAGATGAAGGAAGGGGTCACTCTCAAATTTCAAGAATTTAAGGAAGATGAAGAGTATTTTGGCCATGCTCTACCAGTGGTTTGGATGTGAGTCATCAACCTACCGACAATTCTAAGGGAGTACGTCATTCTGGGGGCACTTGGAACTCTTTTCGGTGTTACCCAGGATGTGGATATGGTGACTACTAGAGCCAATAACTTTGGACGGTTTGAAGTGGCAGTACTAGAACCCAAGGCAATTCCGACCAAACTAGATGTCATCATTGGTAATAGGTACTTTCAGTTGATTTTTGAGGTTGAACCTTATTTACTTAACATTGGACTGCGGAATATTTGGAATATACAGAATGATGGGAATGAGGACCATGGTAATGGTGCGACAAAAGACACTGAGATGAAGGAGGCACAAAATACTGGGGAAACTAATATATCAGATGCAAGCATCAGAAATGCAATAAAAAACAACACGACCGGGAAAGAAGATAAGGCTCCTAAGACACAGATGGATTATGATTGGTCAAATGATGATCTGCTAGGAGACGAGCATGAACTTAACGAATTTGTACGTAAGTTTTTAGGAGTCAAAAAAGGAGATCCGGTAAATGTGAAGAATGCAGCAACAATTACAGCGTCAGCCTCTAGGAGATTGTCAGCACCGGTGAAAGGTCCTTGTTGGTTTTGGTAATTGAGTGACAACCTAGGTGGACTAATTGTGTTTATGTGAGATACACAGGTGATTAGTCCACATGTACATGTGTATGAGCAACATATGCCATGGAGGTAAAAATGGCTTGGAGATGTTGCAAATCTCACACATGTGATGATGAAGGAGCTTATTGCACATGAGACATGACATTGAGTCATGTGATCAAGGTGGAGAAGATCAAGACAAGACTTGGCTTGATGGACCGGTTGCAAGCGTGAAGGGGGCAGTCAAAGGCTTTGGAGTGATGGACCGCGTGGCGGTGAAGCTTGAGCAAGACTTGGCGCCGATGGACAATAGCAGCGGTGAAGAGCAAGTAGAGTCAAGATCGATGAACCAATATGATCATGTGATGATATGAAGTGGATCATATCATTGTTGATCGTGTTGGTGCATGTGTTACATCGACATTGAAGGAGATGGAATGGAATCGCAAAGGCAAAGGTATAACCTAGGGCATTTCATTTCACCGGTCATAGGTGTGTAGAGAATTTTATGACCGAGTTTAGGATAGATGGCATTACTATCAAGAGGGCAAACTTGTTTGCATATCGGTCATTAGTGCCACTCGAGTGATCTAACTTTGCATTGTCGCTAGGATCGAGTGGCGTGGCAAGTTGAGTGGCTAACATCCTTTGGGAAATGATTGTGAAAATGCTAACACACATACACATGGTGGTGTACACTTGGTGGTGTTGGCACATTTACAAAGGAGGTGGTGTTTGTAGGGGTGAGATGGGTTTGGGTCCCTCTCTCCCTCGCCCGAAACTTCTTGGGCGGGATTCAACGCTTCGGGAAAATAGAATGCCTATTTTCTATTGTGCCGGGATGTAAGTTCTTGTGGTTAGCACATTAGAGCAAGGGTGATGAAGTTAGAAGTGAAAACGAGTTAGTCGCGAAGATCTTTGGCGTCGGTCAAGCGACCGGACGCTTGAATCTGAATGCTGCCGAACGCCGGGCGCAGTGCGTCCCGTCAGTAAACGTCTGATGACGCAGAAATGGAGTGTGACCGGACGTGGCTGCGTCCGATCAAATGTGTTGACCGGACAGCGCCGTCCGGTCGGGTCAATACTATCTTGAAAACGACCGACGACTGAGGGGTTTCAAGCGTTCGGCCGATTGAAAGCTTCTTTTGCATCCGGTCAAGTCAAGTGACCGTTGGAACCGGGACACGTGTGGTTGTCTGGGGCGACCGGACGCCGAGTCCAGCGTCCGATCAACACGATCGGAGCGTCCGGTCGGCCCGACCGCTGCCCGAGTGAAGGGTAACGGCTAGTTTAGCCCTTGGGGCTATAAATAGAAGTGGCCCTCGGCCATGGTGAAGCGAGCACCTCAAGGGACTTAGTGTCCATGCTTGTGAGTGCTTGGGAGCCCTCTATCACACATATACTTGATAGTGATCATTCGATTGTGTGAGTGAGCGATTCTAGTGCTATTGCATCGTGAGGTTGCATCGAGTGGCACTAGGTGGTCGTGTTGCAAGCCGGTGGTGCTTGTTACTCTTGGAGGTTGCCACCTCCTAGACGGCTTGGTGGTGGTCTTCGTCGAAGCCCGCAAGAAGCTTGTCTTGGCGCTCCGAGAAGTGCTTGTGAGAGAGGTACTTGTGCTCGCCCCCGTGGGAGTCGCGAAGAGCAACTTTAGTAAAGCGTGTCATTGAGCTACCCTCACTCAAGGGTAGGTTTCTTGCGGCGCCCGACGTGCGGGCTTAGCGGGTGATGCTAATTAGCATGCCCGAACCACCAAGTGGCGGTCGACACAACGGGGACTAAGCGTGTTGGCAAACACGTGAACCTCGGGAGAAAAATCATCGTGTCAACCTTGTTCTTCCCGTTGGTTTGCATCCCCATTACACAAGCTTGCAATTACTTTTATACATATTAAGCTCGTGTAGTTGCTCTTGTAATTAGATAGCTTGTGTAGCTTGCTAATTATCTTCTTGCTTGTGTAGCATAGAAGTAGCTCCCTTATGCATTAGCTAATTTGGTTTTAGTAACCTTGTTAGTCACATTGCTTAGTTTGTGTAGCTAAGTATTTACACTCTAATTAGGCATTGGTTGCCTTGTTATTGAGCTTTGCTAGTGAGCTTAGTTGGCTTTGTGCTTTTGCTTACTAGCATGTGTAGGAGCTTCCTTGTTGCTTAAAGTACTAGTGGCATAGGTTTGTGTGACCTTGCTTCTAGAATTGTTTAGGAGAGCTCTAGCTAGCCCGGCACCTTAGTTGCATAATTAGTATCTTTGCAAGGTGCTAGTGAGCATATATAGAGGGGTGTAGTCTTGGCTAGACCGATTGTTTTAATTCGCATTTATATCGGTTAGCCGACGCGATTAATTTTAGAAAAGACTATTCACCCCCCTCTAGTCCGCCATCTCGACCCTTTCAACCTAAGCATGCATCTTTGCGGCGACCTTCCTTGATCTGCTAGGGTGGCTGAAAAATTTAATGAGTCGACCTTACGTGCCACAGTCTAATCTTGAAGATTCGACAAGGATGGTACGCTTGGGCATTACATAGCAGCCCACGCTGTCGGCCAAAGATCTTGTGCAAGTGACCTGCGAGAAAAATAAATCTGTGAACAGCCATCTACCATGTTTGATAAAGAACGTGTGGATATCTCGGTTAGGCGATCGATGGGGCGTGAAGAAGGCGTTTGCGGATGGTGCTCAACACCTTGGTGTTCTTCTTGACGCCATGTTGGGAGCTGGAATGGCAGCTGATGGTGAGTCAAAAAAAAGGATTTGGGTAGTGTCATGAAAATGGCGATTATGTCAAATGGAGAGTTAACCCCAGTACGGCGGAGCAAACGGAATACGGAGGTGGCTGATGTGGACTCTCTAGAGAAGGCAGAAAGAAGAGTTGCGGTCAAGAACCTCGAGGAACCCCAAGGTAATTTAAATGTTAATTCATTTTGTTCCTTTTCTAATGTTCATATTAAGGAAAACTTAGGAGGAGTGGGTATTAGTTTGGGTGACAATGATGATTTAATGATCGGGTCTATTGCTCTTTTAAAAAATGTTGAAAGGGAGAGACTGAAACCATCTATTTGTCTCAATAATGATGAAAATGAATTTGATTCTAAGAAGGATGAGATCGATCTAGACACCTTCACCATAAGTCGACTCTGTGGTGACTTAACGGAGGAGGTGATGGATGATAATAATGCGGACCTCAATGGAGTACTTGTAAATGTGCCCATCAAGGTGGGAAAAACCAAAAAGAAAAAGAAACTCCTCAGTAAGAATACAGCTGCAAGAAAAAAATAGTATTTCAATAAAAGGTATTTTCTGGAACTACATAGGTTTGTGTGATTTAGCTAAACACACCTTTTTACATGATGTGGCTGGGGATAACAAACTTGATTTCATAGCTCTATCAGAGACCAACAAAAATAGTTTTTCGACTCAGTATCTAGAAAACTTTTGTGCGGGGGCTGATTTTGTTTGACATTGGCGATGTCCTCGGGGTATGTCCGGGAGGATGCTAATGGGAATAAATCAAGGTTATTTTGAAATAGAGAACATAGAGGATGGTGATTATCATATCAAGTTTCTCATCAAAAATAAAGTAGATGGTTTTCGATGGGCTCTATTGTCTGTGTATGGTGCAGCACAAGAAGAGCACAGAGAACACTTCTATCAGAGTTAGTACGAGCTTGTACTAGCTGTGGGGATCTGCCTTTCTTAGTAGGGGGAGATTTCAATATCATTAGGAACCCTTCGGGAAAAAATAATTCAAGATATAACAATAAGTGGCCTCTTTTGTTTAATGTTATTATTGAAACGTTAAATTTAAGAGAGCTGGAGTTAACAGGTAGGAAATATACGTGGGCAAACTATGCAAAGGTTCCAACATATGAAAAGTTGGACCGTATCTTAGTAACAACAGATTGGGACACAAAAATTTCCTTTAGCTTTTGTCCAGGCACTTACCCGAGAGATCTCCGATCATACACCTCTTTTATTAGATAGTGGTGAGCCATCTCACAGAGGTAATGTTTTGAATTTTAAGTTCGAGCTAGGGTGGCTAACAAGAGATGGTTTCTTTGGGTTGGTCAAAGAGGTTTGGGAATCTGAGAATAGGGGTCGGTCACCCATGGAGAAATGGTAAAACAAAATTAGAAGGTTGCAACGTTTCCTTAGAGGTTGGGCTAGGAATTTGACTTCACAAAATAAGAAACACAAATCTAACCTCTTGACTAAGATAGATGATCTGGACAGAAAGGCAGAGACAATTGTGTTGTCACCTCAAGAGATGGAACTTAGACATCATCTCAAAGGGCAATTAACTAAGTTGCTGAGAGAGGAGGAGATCTATTGGCTACAACGATCAAAAGCAACAAAGTTATTGCAAGGGGATGATAATACTAAGTATTTTCATCTAGTGGCAAATGGGAGACACACGAAAGCAAAATTTGTCCAGCTAGAACAAGAAGAAGGAACAAATTTGAAAAATTATATAACTGAGTACTATAAAGGATTGTTTGGACCTCATCCACCGAATTCGTTTTCAATGGACGAGACTTTGAGGCATGACATACCTCAAGTGTCGGGGGACGAGAATGAGGGTTTGATGGCTCCATTCAGCGAGGAGGAGGTTAAATTGGCAACTTTTGATATGGAGCATAACAAAGCACCTGGTCCGGATGGTTTTCCCACAATATTTTACCAATTCTTGTGGGAGGTTATGAAATCGGGTTTGATGAACCTTTTTTATAAATTCCATGCTGGGAGACTGCCTATCCATAGCCTAAATTTTGGGGTAATTACATTACTACCAAAGATTGTTGATGCGGCCCGGATAAAACAGTATATGCCAATATGCTTATTAAATGTGAGCTTTAAGATTTTTACGAAAGTGCTAAATAATAGGATTTTGAAAGTGGCAGATAAGATGATAGGACTGTCGTAGACGGCCTTTATCTCAGGTCGCTATATCATGGAAGGAGTTGTGATGTTGCATGAAACGATTCATGAGTTGCATAGGAAAAAAACAAGATGGTGTGATCTTAAAATTAGATTTTGAAAAAGCCTATGATAAATTAAAATGGTCGTTTATACAACAGGTTTTCAGAATGAAAGGATTCTCACCAAATTGGTGCGAATGGATTTCAAAAGTCATGTTTGGAGGGAGTGTTCCAGTAAAGGTCAATGATAATGTAGGCCACTATTTCTAAACCATGAAAGGAGTGTGACATGGGGATCCGTTATCTCCAATTTTGTTTGATATAGTGGTTGACATGCTGGCTATCTTTATTTCACGAGCTAAAGAAAGTGAACAAATTCAAGGGGTTATTCCACATTTGGTAGATGAGGGACTTTCAATCCTTCGGTATGCAGATGACACTGTCATCCTTATGGACAATGATCTAGATAAGGCCAAAAACATGAAGCTTTTACTTTGTGCTTTTGAACAGCTATCAAGACTCAAGATCAACTTCCATAAGAGCGAATTGTTCTATTATGGAACAGCCAAAGCTAATTAACACGAATATGTACAAAAATTTGGGTGTGATTTGGGGTCGTTTCCATTTAGATATCTGGGAATCCCTATGCATCGTAGAAAGCTCTTGAATAAAGACCAGAAGCATGTTGAAGAATGTTTTTAAAAGAGGCTGAATTGTTGGAGAAGCAAAATGTTATCGGTAGGAGGAAGGCTTGTTCTGATTAATTCTATTTTGAGTAGTCTCCCCATGTTCATGCTTTTCTTTTTTGAAGTACCTAGAGGGGTTCTAAAGAAGTTGGACTATTTTAGGTCATGATTTTTTTGGCAGAACGACAAACATAAGAAAAAATATAGATCAATTAAGTGGGAGGTAGTTTGTACGCCGAAAGATCAAGGGGGTTGGGAGTCCAAAACTTAGACGTACATAACAGATGTTTTCTAAGCAAATGGCTTTTTAGGTTGCTGAATGGAGATGGGATCCGGCAACAATTGCTTAGGAACAAGTATTTAAGAAACAAAATTTTGACACAGGTTCAATACATGCCTAGGGACTCCCAGTTTTGAGCTGGCCTTATGAAGGTCAAGGAGAAGTTCCTATCGTTGGGCAAGTTTGATCTAGACGACGGGTCTCAAGTGTGATTTTGGGATGACTCGTGGATAAGACCGCGTCCTTTAAAATATCTCTTCCCCGCATTATATAATATTGTTAGGAAGAAAAGCGCATCTGTAAGAACGATGTTGTCTATGACGCCGTTAAATATGGCTTTCAGGAGATCTCTGGTAGGTGTTAATTTACAAGCATGGCACGAGGTGGCCGCCATGGTTGCAGATGTATAGTTAACAAACTAGAGGAATTGTTTTGTGTGGGGGCTACATCAGAATGGATTGTTTTCAGTCAAATCCATGTACAGAGCCGTTTTAGGAGTTGAAGCTATACCTTATAACACTTTAATAGGGAAACTAAAACTACCTCTCAAAATCAAAGTATTTTTATGGTATTTGTATAAGAGAGTAATCTTAACAAAGGACAATTTAGCAAGGCAGCAGTGGCAAGGAGATAGAAAGTGTTGTTTCTGCTCTTCTGACGAGTCTATACAACATCTATTCTTTGACTATCATTATGCTAAATTCGTGTGGTGAATTATTCATGTTTCTTTTAATTTAATATCTTCAACTAGCGTTCACAATTTGTTTACAGGCTGGTTAGACGGGATTAATAGGAAACTAAAATCTAAGATTTTTGTGGGTACAAGTGCAATTTGTTGGGCGATATGGTTAACCCGGAATAATATAATTTTTGACAAGGCCATAGCACCATCTTATTTGCAGGTTATCTTTAGGGGACCTACTGGACCAGGTCCTGGTCCCTACTACAGAAGGAGGAGGATCGCCAAATGATAACGATGGGATGCAGGAATATTGAGACAACCGTGATGAAAGTATTTGCTAGACATGGTTGGAGATTTAGTAATAGAATTGATGTCGAGTTTGAAAACTTCTCTATTTTTTCTTTAGATCAAAACTCTGTGTTTGAGATTGCGTGGATTGCAGTGCTTGTGTTGTAATAAGCAACAACTATATGTATTGGTTGATGCAAAATCTGAATATTAATATATTTCATTTTCTAAAACTATGATAGGCTAGGAGATGCCATAACAGCATAGCAAGATGATGTGTTATACCATACCACCAGTCTGTTCGCTTGTTGATTTCTGTCAGAACTTATCAGTCAGCCAACAGTATTTTTCTCTCACAATAAATCAATATCAGTTGAACTTATCAGTCAAAAACCAACTAGCGAACAGGCCGCACAACGCAACGTAGATGATCCATGCTGGTTTTTTACTCTCTGGTCGGCCTTTGTTTTCAAAAATGAAGCGGATAACTTAATTGAGAATTCGTACTGTTTTTTTTTTGTGTACGTGCAGTGTTCCACATAAATCAACTTCCACCTTTCCAGCATACATTTTTCCCCTGTTATTTCACAAAAAAAGTAAAAATGCCCATGATCCTTTATTTATAACAATGACATACTTTGTTCAGACAAATACATTTTTTAAGAAAAGAGAATATTTTTGGCCTTTACATCGTACACAACCAATTCTTACAAAATTTTCAACACAATTGCTGATTATCAAATAAAGAGAAAGAACATACTTTAAAAGAAAAAATATAAATAAAGTCTGTTATTGCTGGATACCTGGGTTCATAGCTACCTAGCTGTATGTATTCGGTCATCGGTGACTTGCTATGCAATTCCATGTATCCAACGTTGCACGACAAAGAAACCATCAAAACCACTTATCCATCCGATGAAGATGTTAGTGCGACAGATTCTTATAATATAAACAAAAAAATAGAGTAATGAACAAGGCAGTCTTAGAGTCATGCACGCAAACACATAATGGTTCATTACCAATTATCAAACAAAACATGTAATTTATCTGATATGGTAACACATAACCCTCGAAACTAAAACTTTTTTGAGTAAGTAAATGCTTAAATGACGGACTAGGCATGATTACAATCTAATAAGACGGTGGCAGATAGAAAAATGGACAAAATATATAGAAAGCAAACAAGTCAATGTAATAGAAACCACAAATAATTATCTGTGGCTTACCCCCTAATTTAGGTGTACCATTAACAAATGACAGCACCTAACCATAATTATTTAGGGAATTTAAGAAAAACACATGAATCAATTCGCTAACCCATTTTCTTACTAGACCGGATAAAATGGTCCATTCAACACCCAAAACAACCTCAACAAAAAAAATCAAGATTTGTTGCACAGTTTCAAATCCCACTACTTTCTCCCATAAAACCTCCTCTCCCCTCGTTCTCCTCCCACTCCGCCTCCCCGTCTCCTCTCACCCCACACCTGCCCTCCCGGCCGCCGCGCCGCGGACCCCTCCCATGGCAAAGCTCACGCGTCTACCCTGCCCGCCGATTCCCGTACTCGCGCTCGTGTGCGTCCTTCTTCTGCACGCCGCGCCGCGGCCCGCACTGTCCTCCCGCGCCGCGCCGAGTGACGGTGTCTCTTTCTCCGGCGCAGGCAACTCGATACATCAACTGCTCAAAGATCACGGCCTTCCCGGAGGACTGCTCCCGCGCGGCGTGGAGTCGTACACCCTGGACGAATCGACCGGCCTGCTGGAGGCGCGGCTGTCGGCGCCGTGCTACGCCACGTACGACAACGGCGACCTGGCCTACTTCGACAACGTGGTCCGCGGCAACCTCAGCAAGGGCGCGCTCCGCGGCGTGGAGGGCCTCTCCCAGGAGGAGCTCTTCGTCTGGCTCCCCGTCAAGGGCATCCTCGTCCAGGACCAGGAACCCGGGGTCATCCTGTTCGACATCGGGTTGGCCCACAAGAGCCTCTCGAGGTCGCTCTTCGAGGACCCGCCGGACTGCAAGCCGTCGGCCGCCGCCGGGATGAGCGCCGCCGCTGCCGCCAGGTGGAAGGGCAGGCGAGGTGAGATTCTGACACGCCACTGTTTCAGATTTGTTCGGGGGGCATGGTTCCCTTCTCGATTTGTTAGGATCCTGTTTTCTCGCTTGGCCGGTAGGTAGATGGCCTGTTTCTTCGCCGTGCTTGTTCGGACGTCTAGTCCATGGAATTCTGTATCTATCCTAAGATTCCGTCCACTCGTTCGAAGGTTTTAGTCGAATTAATTGAACTTAACCTCTGATTTTCGATGTCCGGTTCGCCGATTGGATTTCAAATCGGTTGTAAATCTCAGCCCAGTCGATGAGATGCAGCTGCGTTGGATTCCGATAATTGATTTATTAGAATTAAAAAAAATCCGATCTCGTTCGCGTTCCTTGGATCAGTGGACGTGCCAGTTACAAGTTGACAAGGCGTTTCGGTTCTTTAGTGGTTCAGTCAGGGAGGGGGTGCTGGAAAGATTGAAATTTGATGGCGTGTTGGAGTTGGAAGCTTGTGGAGGAGTAATTCTCGTCATGGGGGTGGGGGATCCATTAAAGACTTCAGTTACAGCTGAATGTTTGGGCATTAACTCTGCAGGAAACTCGTTCATTTGTCTGCGAAATCAGTCATGGCTTTGGCAGTGGAATTCTGATCCCTTCAGGTTCATTTATTATTATTTTTTTAAACTCTTAGCACCCGAAAATTCCTTCTTTCTAGGTTGCTTTCTTTCTGGGTTGCAAGTTTATGGAGATTTACTGAATCGCTGTTATTGGGCTCAGGGCACTTGGTCAGATTACAGTGAATCACGATGAGGTTTGGGGATAATCACGATGAGGATTGGGGCAAGTTGCTTGCAACCTCCCATGGGTGCCAAGAGGAGTGTATTAAGCATTAGATGCTTGCACCTTCTCTGCTTTTGAAGCAAAGATTTTTGCCTGATGCAGGCTTTTGCCTATCTATCAGTCTTCGTTAGCAATCCAATTTTTTTTCCCCCTCCTAAACCCTTCTTTTCCTAGTTTGTTACAGGCAGGGAGGTTGCTTTTGGATGCGCCCCTCCTTTGCAGATTGTTATCTTTCTATGTTAGAATGTGTGTCTCGGCTCATCACCTGTCCACTTCTGTAGCGTCTTTCTCTGCTGCTGGCACCTCCATTGGTAAATGGATGGAAAGCTGGTGTGGCAAACACGAACCCTTGCAAGAACATACATCTCCATTGCTCGGAAAGGGTGGAACAGAAGATGGTGCCACATGAGCTCACTTTGTTTCCCCTAATGGTTGAACTTCACATGATCGGTGTGAACCCTAAGCAGCATAACACTCCTTTTAGAGATTCCTACCACAGTTTCTCCTCCGTGCAATGTTTTTTTATATCATCAATTACAGCTGTTGCCTGAAGAGGGGTCTAACAAAGGTGTTTATTGGCAGGTGTTACTGGTCTGAGGTTGAGGCGAGAGGTAGCAGAAGACAGTGAAGAGCATCAGGAGCAGAGGTGATGAGGCCTCTGAGACAACATCCGAGACGATGCCGAGCCAGTTTTCGGCTTTGTAAAATCCTGTGGTGAGTGAGAGAGTGCTGCTGCTGCTGCAACAAAAAAATACAACAACTGCAACTTCCTGCAGAGGTTGGAATGTATCTACTAAGATGTGGGTACCTTTTTGTAGTTCTTTTTTCGTTTTTTTTTTTGGGCCTAAGCTCCTCTCTTGTTCATGCACATGCACACCTGTGTGATATTAAGTTTGTCAGTCAGTCAGTCAGTCAATTGTTATAAGCAAGCACGCAGAAAAAAAAGAAGAGGAAAAGAGTTGGCTGAGGAGCCAATTGGGGGGCTCCGGGGCTGTGGTTTTGTCTATGAGAGATTCTTGTTCTCCTCAGGGAGAAAATTCCTTAGCTATTGGTGCATGTGCCAGCTCAGCAAGGAGTGAGCTGGGCACAGCACAGCCTCCATGTGGGTTTGTGTTGGCTGGTGGTTGGTTGAGTGCTCCTTGTGCTTCTTCCTTGGATTGATGAGTATATATATACAATTATACAATACTACTGCAATTATTCATTCTGCTAGGTTAGGTTAGGCCATAGAGCTATATATATATAGCATTATAAAGAATATAAAAAAGTTGTAGTTCCTTCTATATGTCTTGTTTCTGTGGTGTGCAAGTCTTGATGAAAGGTATCTATCTGTACCCATATCTCTACCTGTCAATCTATCAAGTGGCTGTATTCCTTTCACTTGCGAGAAGGAAATTATTCAGTATGCTCGCTTGCTCAAGCCTCCATCCGGCCAACGGGAAACCAGCTACGTCGCGAATGGTATGGAGTAGGCATGATGAGGCAGGGGTGGATGGATGGATGGAAAGGGATGTGAATTTTGTTTGTTTTCCTTGTCCCTATCACCCACGTTCTCCTTGCTTTAACCTAGTTGATTTCGATATCACGTTGCTTGATTGATTGTGCCGTTGTAAAATGGTTAGACTGTCTCCAACAGTATGCATAAGGCTACCCAAATCCAAAATGCATGATGCACAGTAGAGAAATTCCTCCAACAGAGTAGGCAAAGCAACTATCTATTTTGCATACGAGGAGAGAGGGAACCCAAAAAAGTGTCTGTTCTCTCTCCACGACCTAAATCCATCTCCGACATGCCGCTTGTCGGACCGAGGAGAAGATGGCGGGGGACGTCCGCGCCGCCGGCGTGCCAGTTGGCCGCCGCATCTCCAGCCGGCCACGGCTGGCTCGCACTCCCGCTGCAACGACTCCGGCACCACCCACACTATGGGCGGCGGCGGCGGCGCTGGGACGGCCACGAGCCCAGCCACCGAGGCGGCGGTGGCGGCTGCCGCCATGGTGTGGTGCTGGTGGAGGGGAGGAGCCACGCCCGTCGAGGAGTCGCGCCCGCCACCGAGGGAGTGGGTGGAGCCATCGGAGAAGAGCAGCGCGAGGGGCGGGGAGAGCGCGAGCGCGTGGGCCAGGGAGGGGAGCACGCGTAGGGCGGGCGAGAGGAGGAAGAGCGCACGTGTGCAGCACGTCGGACGCGCGGGCACGGCGGCGTAGGGCTGGAGGAGGACGGCGAGGCGGAGGGGGAGGCCGTGGGTTTTCGACGGGGTGGGGAGGGGATTTACGTTCTCCTTATTTCCCTTCGCTGTTGGAGAAGGGTAAGTTTTGGGTGGGGACGCTTTTACTGTGCATGACCCAAAGGTGTCGTATTTAGGTTCTCATTGTTTGAGACGGTCAGAGTGAGGAAAAATATCTCCTCTTCGTCTATTGTTCATACAAGCGTGGAGAAAATTAGTGAGAAAGAAAGGGTGGTTTGCATCACTTCTTTGACAAGGTAAGCACTTAGGAGGAACATAAGGTTGTTGATTTTTCTTCTCTCCGGATCTCTTTAGGTGCCGATGCTGATTTTTTTTCTATACACATAAGTTAGAATCTAAGCACTGGATGGAACTTTATGTTGGATATGCATGTATGTATGCCTATTAAAAGGAGAACGTCAGCGGTTTCTAAAGAATTCAGTGACAGAAATCTCACGTGGATAGAAATCTCGTGCGGATAATTTCTTGGCGGAAAAAAATAGTAACCTATTAAAGGAGGACGTCAGGCTAAGGCAAAAAAAGGTCTAAAGAATTCCGTGATAGAAATCTCATGCGGATATTTTCAGCTTCACCAGTGAAACTGTTTTTTCGGTTTGCAACTTGATGTGTAGCTCTATTGATGAAGCTGAGTTGTTTTTATCTTCCTATTTGGGTAGACAACTTCATATGATTGATGGAAAAAAGACTAAAATTACTACAGTGCTCTAGTTTTTTTTCTATTTTTTCATCAACTCCTCACGGACCGCTGCCTTCCTCACGGGTCGCGTGCTCCCACGGTCGCGTACTCGCGTGCCGCTCATCCCGCATCCTAGAGGCCATGAGCCTCGCCGGCCTCGCCCCGGTGGCCGCATGGCCAGGCGGCTACGAGCCCCCCGCCGAGCCTGCGTGCTGAGCGGAGTCAAATCTGGCATTCACCTACTGTGCGCCACATGTGTCAGGTGAAGCCGGAATAAGTTATTTGTTTCAACTTCATCCCACAGCAAAAAAAAAAAGTTTCACGGGTGAAGCTGTTTTGAAAAAAAAACATATGTTTAAGAAAAAAAAAATAGCTCACAACAGCTCATGAAACTGTTGGTAGCTATACCAAATAGGGCCTAAGAATTCACCGACAAAAAAAACTTATGCGAATATAGTCTCAGCTGTATTTAGATGTGTATATATACTCCACATCTCCGCTTCCTAATCCCAGTCCAGTGATCATCTAGCACCTCTCTAGGTTTGCCGATTATGGCGCGGATAAGGTTACTCCATTTGCACCATTGCAGATGTTTTGTAGAAGCATAGCAAGTAGGGGGATGGTGCTAATCCTGCTCCTTTGCCTTATTGATACGGCGCGTAGGACTCTAATGGCACGCGCATAGGTGCACTAAATAATTCTGCCCGCCGCTGCCGGCGGACCACATCATGGCGATGGACCTCGGACCAAACCAGGGCGCCCGGATAACGTGGCATGCCATGCCATGCGAGTTCACTCACGGTTCGTCTATCACTGATTCCGTAAAACTTGCTAGTGCTAGTACTCCAAAAGCAAAGCGTACCCGGCGAAGCAAAAGCGCGGCGGGGGCGAGACGCATGATGGGCACCCAGGGGTGGGCCGGGGAAAGGATCCAAAAGCCTCGACATCCCAGGTCTGCACCGCACGGCACCACGACCACGTCGCAACAAAAAACTAATGCCTGTACGCCGGCAGCGGGCAGCCCCATCGGGCACTAGCTAACCAACTAACCCCTGGCCCTGCACGGCACCAATTTTCTCGCGGGATATTCCCTGGCTCGAGATGCAGCAGCCAGAAGCGACAGAGGATGCACCTCTTCCCTTTTTCCTTCCTTCGCATGCTTTCACAATACTTGTTAAGTTTCGCTTTCAGTTCCGGTACCCGATATATACACAAAAGTTTATTACATTAAGGCTATGACAAACAATGGTTTGGAACTAAGGGTAAATACACAGATGTTCACATCCATATTTACAGCCAGTGTGCACTAGGACTATCCGCGATACAGCAGTTGCAATCACACCAAGCCGGATATCTAGCTCTGGGCTCAGCATTTTAAACATGCCATGTTATTTCGTGAAGGTAAGACGAGGTCCAGCCTCTGTGCGATGCGAGTCTCAGAAGTCAGGGCCTTGCTGGAAGAACTCAAGGTCTGGGTGGGTGCTCCCGCCTGGAGGCCGCCTTGGACGCCTACATCAACAGTCAAACAAAAAGTATATTTAGCTATCACCAGGTTTAGAAGTCTGCTGCTGATTCCGCAATCAAATGGACATGCCAATAAGCATTGACAGTTTCAATTGGATATCACTTAATCTTCCAAGGTGATCAGGGAGAATATGTATTTATATAGGATGTCAATAATCTAATGTACAACAGGATGCTGCACTAGGAAAAGCGTATTTCGAGAGCCGTTAAGTTAATTATTGACAGGTTGTAAAGCAGCACCGAGTTAGACAATAGGCCATCTTGATTCTTGAAAAAACTTATAAATGGGAAAGAATCCAAAGAAAATGCTAGCAATGATTAACTTACCTAACAAAGCTAGATGGCTCAAACCCTGGAACACCAGGTGGGCCAATTGGATCATAGCGACCACCTGGTGGAACACTCCTGTTTCAAACATTCATTTTTATTAAGAACTATAACAAAAATAGTACCTCACAAAGTGATCTTGAAATGACAAATTTAGTGAAACAAAAGCAGAACATACCCAGGGCCACCAAATGGGGCATTGAAGGGATTAGAAGGAAAGAAGCGTGGATCATTAGGACCTGTTGCGCCAAAATAATCATTAAGCCTTGGCTGTAGACATGCACAAACATAACAACAAAAACTGGACAGTGTTTAATAGATGTAATATTACCAACGTGCATGCTGCCACCGCTCCCAATACCACTGTAAACAGAACAGACAAATAAAGCTATCAATTCCTTCCAAGTTTTACACAAGCTTTCATTCATGGTTGAAGACATACCTGTGAGGGTAGAAGCCTGCACCAGATCCAGGGTAGAGATCATCAGAACCAAGTGGTGCTATTGGAGGATAAATTAGGCTGCATCACAACATATAAAATAGAAACTGATTAGCCACAGCCCCACAAGAAAATACAATACTCCAACTGTGCAGATGATAACTATTGTAACTTGAACAAATATTTGCTAAGAATCCGGATAAAAAGAATCACAATAGTTTTATTGGATTTCGAGATTCTAAAAATCAATGAGTTAAAATCCCTCTAAAATCTAGACCGTTTGGATATGATACTAGGATTCTAGGATTTTTTCTATCTAGATTCTCAGAATCAATGGATTCAAACGGGGCCTAAGAAGGTACAGGGGATCAATCGCCCCAATTCACAACAGGAGCTGGACGAAAATACTAAAGATGTATACATGCAAAAGAAAAGGGGTGA